CAAGTTGTTTGTGAAGCTATTTTCGGCATTCGTCCGACCCCACCTGGAATATTGTATCAGGCTTGTCCACCATGTCTTAACCGAGACAAAATGGACTTGGAGAGGGTGTTACGAGTGGGCACTCGGTTAGTGCAGGGTCTACGGGGACAGACGTATCCTGAACGCTTGCTCAGTTTGGGGATGTACTCCATGCACTACCGAAGGATAAGAGGGGACCTGATTCTCACTTATCGTATTTGACGGGTAAGATTGGCCCGGACTTGTCAGGGCTTTTTAGTCCCGCTACTTTACCTAGTCTCCGCGGTCACCCACTGGAACTGCATAAACCACGGTCTGATAGGATTAGGACGGAAACTCGTCTATCGCGCCGAGTTATAGATCGCTGGAATTCGCTCCAGATCACGTGGTTAGGGAACCTACGGTTAAGGGTTTTGCGCGCCAGCTCGATGCTCTTGGGTGGCAACAGCAAACCTTTCCTTTTTCCTAGCTGACTCACCTTCATTTTTCAGTTCTTTTTTTATTGACTCAAATATCTTGGTATTCCACTTGCTTAGCTCTTACCACTTTCTCTTTTGCCTCCTGCGTTTACTTTTTTTCTCTTTCTTACTTCACGTAACCGACCCAGCAGGGACTGCTAGGGCAGGATACGTGGGCATTAATTGGTTGGACAGGGTGTGATGCGGTCTTTGTTTTAGGTCCATCAGTATTTCAAAGTTCGCCAACTCCTGGTTCAACGATCCACCTAGAAGGATAAGAACACTCACGGGCTAATCCTATCGTTCTAGTCCGCTTGAACTTGAAGGACTGAGGTACGGAGTCTCATTAATGGAGGATCCAATAGATTTCATCCGCTCGGGCTTGTTAGCGAGTCACGGACCTGTTTAAAGTGGAAAATGAGCAGGATTGAATTAACTTATACACCGTTTTAAAATGCCACGCCCAAAGGCAAAACAGGGGTGTAAACGGGATTAAATGGGGAACAACCGCATAAAATTACCAAGTAAGCGTTCAAGGAGACGCCCCCCCCCCACTATCTGCGTGAAGTAACTCTTTAATTCGATCAAGGGTATTTTGGATCAGAAAGAAAAATTGACAAATAGTCAAGAGATTGCCACTTTCACGTGTGTAGATTTAAACACCGTGTTTCCACAAATGTTAGCTAAAAATAGAACGTCTCAGTATATTATGCAAGCCAAAATCCTGAGTTACCGGTAGACCTAGGTGTCGTTCATTGAGTTCATTGAGTTGTAGAGAGCAGGAGAGAAATCCCTTGTCAGCCCCATCGATTCTGTGTCATACTGGGTTTGATGCGTGTCGTTGTGTTACGACGTTCCTCGAGGGTTCGTCGTAATTGCTGTGACAGCCGCAAGATTCCAGCATTTTCAGCGAATGTATGTCTAGCAGCCGCTTGAAACTTTCCTCGGATGGAGCGTCTGCAATTGCTTCCGGTAAGCTGTTCCAGTCATTCACCACTCTAGTGGATAGGGTGACGTCCTTGCGAATTTTGTGTCTTCTTTGCTTAAAGAGATTCCATGTGTGCCCTCGGGTGGAACAGTCAGTGTTGGGCCGGAAGAATTGTTGTAACTCACTTCCAAGTTCCCCTCGGAGGATGCGTCTAGTGTAGATGAGGTCACCCCGGCGACGGCGGAGCTCGAGGGAGAACAGATTTAGCTTCTGGAGTCGAATGGGGTACGGGAGATCACGTAGCCCCAGAACAGCTTTTGATGCACGTCTCTGAACCTTTTCCAGCACAGCGCTTTCAAACTTTGAAAGCGGATAGCTAGCTGGTAGGCCATATTCTAAGACTGGACGGACGTACGAAGTGAACAACGGTCGAAAAATCTCGGGAGTCATTCGAGCGAATGATCTTCTTAAGGCACCTACCAGTCTCCTTCCAGTGGCCACCTTCTTTAACGTGTCCTGCGTCGTTCTAAGGTCAGAAGTCACGATAACCCCGAGATCTCTCTCGTGGGTGGTATTCCTAAGGAGAAACCCACCAATGTGGTATGCACCGTAAGGTTCGGTGCCACCCATTGGGAGAACAGCGCATTTATCTCGGTTTACTGGCAGTTCCCACTTGATGGACCATTCGTGTAGCTGGTCTAGAGCCCCTTGTAATCTATCCACATCCTCAATGCTGGATACTGTTGACCAAAGTTTGAGGTCATCGGCGTAGATCAAGCAGTCGGTTTGTAGCGCAGTCGGTAGATCGTTAATGTATAGTTTGAAGAGCTCTGGTCCAAGCACTGATCCTTGGGGAATGCCACTAGTCATGGGCACTGGAGCAGAGAGGGTTTGGTTCACTTGTACGCGCATTGTCCTACCCCTTAAGAAATCGGCAATCCAGGAGAGAAGATTTCCTGTAATGCCAATTCCCTGGAGTTTATGTAGCAGTCGTACGTGTGGAACCTTATCAAAGGCTTTGCTAAAGTCAATGAATATTACGTCGACCCGTTTTCGTGTATCTATGGCTTCTGCCCATGTTTCCCTGGCGATGAGTAAGTTAGTGATGCATGAGCGTGCTCTCCGGAATCCATGTTGAGCAGGTGTGATGAGGTTTAGATGCTCACAGTGTAGCTGGAGAGCGCACTTGACTATCCGTTCCATATTTTTGCATACGACTGACGTCAGACATATTGGCCGGTAGTTGGCCGGGTCTTGTTTGTTTCCCCCCTTGTATTTGGGCAGGACGGTGCCTGCTTTCCAGCCTGTGGGTAGGCAGCCGACTTCGAGGGATTGCCGAAACACTTGGCAGAGAGGGACGGCGACGTACTCAGCTATCGTTTTGAGGAAACTGGGATGCAATCCGTCCGGGCCTGGGGAGGAGTTCGGGTCCAGTTCGAGAAGTAGCTTAGTGACTACTTCGGGGTTAATTTCAACTTCGTCCATAGAGGAGTGGTGTGCAGGCAAACAGTTGTTGAGCAATGGTGACTCCACTGAGTAGACCGAGGAATATTGCGCAGCCAATAGATTTGCTTTTTCATCATCACCGTAGAGGACGGTACCTTCCTTAAAAGAGGATAGAGCGGGGATTCCACTACCAGTTTTGGCATTTCGCTTCAAGTAGGCAAAAAGTTTCTTGGGACAGTTTTGGGAGTCCATGGCCAGTCTATGTTCATATTGTAGTCTTTTGTCTCGTTTTCTCAGGGTGCATAGGTTTCTGACAGTTTTGTACTCTAAGTAGCTTGATGTCTGTCCTGTGCTTTTGAAATGATCCCATAGTTTTCGACGTTTTTTCATTAGGGATCTTACTTCTTTATCAATCCATGGGGGTCCTTTGGATGGTGGTCTGCTCTTGCAGTTTGGAACAAACTGTTCAACGAGCCGCATCATCATAGATCGTAGGCGTTCCCATGCGTCATCAAGCTCTAAGGATTGCGGGATACTCCAGTCCATGTTACTTGCAGTCGTTCTTAATCTGGGCCGGTCAGTACGCCAGAAATTTCGACGCAGTGTCCCCTGATCGTGGATTGTGAGGCGTCGTGTCCACGAAAAGGAGACTGTACACTGATCACTCGTACCAAGAGGTTGGAGGATCGTTAGATCTGAGACATCAGATGGTGTCGAGGTGAGAACCAGGTCGAGAATGTTTGGTGTCTGACCAGGGATCATTCGCGTTGGTGTCAGGACATGCTGTGTCAGGTTGCACTCATGAACGGTATCAAGGAGAGCAACTTCAAAGGAGTCAGGTGAGAGATCACTGTGAAGTAGGTCCCAGATCACGTTGGGGGCGTTGAAGTCCCCCATAAGGAGACAATTTGTTCCTCTGCTGTTGGTTCGCACGGAACGTAGTAAGTGTGAGCCAAGTGCTGCAGGGGCTCTGTAGACCACCCCGACCATCAGCGACTGGTATCCGTCATGAATTCGGCACCAGAGCATTTCCGACATATCATCCTTGTCACAGTCGGGTTCGACGATGTGGGCCTTGAGGTAGTTCTTTGTGTAGAGGATTACTCCGCCTCCAGACCTCCCACCAAAGCGATCGCATCGAAGTAGCTGATATCCTGAAACATGAACCTCCGAGTCAGATATGTCAGATGAAAGCCAGGTTTCGGTGAACGCCATTAGGTCCGGTTGCTGTTCAGTGATAAGGAGTGGAATCTCATCTAGCTTGTTTCTGAGACTGCGCACATTTGCGAGTATTACCCGTAGTCCATTCTTTATGTTTGAGGTCCTGGAAGAAGGAGGATTGGCCTCCATCGAGCTCTCTGAATTTTCTTGACTACGCGAAAATCCACTATGTGTAGATCTGTTTCTCCATTTGCGCGTCGAGTTCGCAGCTCGCAGACAGCTTGCCTCATTCGGACTCGGTCCTCCGGGGGGAGGTCTTTCAGAACGTAGAAGGTTTCTCCCTTGAGGCGCGGGGTCCGTCTCAGGATGCGTTGGCATTCTTCTTCATCCTGACAGACGATTTTCAGAGGACGAAACTTGGCTGGGTCCTCTTGTTTTCTGCCAAGACGAAAAGCAGAGATTAGGTTTATTCCTTGCTCATGCTCATCAAACAACATGGAGACCATTCGTTTGAGGAAGGCTTGGTCGTCGAGCATCCTTTCAGCTGGAGTCTCTTTGTTGGATTCTGGGACGTTTGTAATTATCAGGCAGCGGTTACGAACAGGCCGCTTGTCTCGTTCCGGTGATGCTGGCTTTGGTGGACATTTCTTTTCTCTGACAAGTTCCTCAAGTTGCGCTACTCTATTTAAGACGAGCTTTAGTTCCACGTTTTTGGTGTTTGATTTTATCTTGGGTCGTGAGGAAATCTTCTTTGAGGCCTTGTTCTCAGCTATGGTTGTCCTTGTTTTTGCCGAGGTGCTAGCGCTCGCGACTGCGGCATAGGACTTGGGCTTATGCATAAGTCCATTCCCGTTCTCACTGGGCAACGGTGTTAAGTCCAGCGTGGTGGACGACGCGCGGCTTCGTTTCCCTTTCGGTGTAGAATACCCAGACGACGTCAGACACACTGCAGAGTTAGGTGTCTCGCTGTCCGAGTTAGAGACGGCTTGCGCGGAAGCAGTATGTACGTTGAAATGGTTCGTCCGAAGTTGCTTGTCGCTGACCAATGTTAGACACGAATCGCAGTGAAAGTTGATGCCTTTAGAGGTAGTGCGCTGAAGACATTGGTAAAGATCATTATCAAAGGTACAGCCGTCGCAACGAGACTGGACCTTAACGTGGTGCGACGGTTTGCGTACCTCATTGACCCATTGAGCTATACTGGGTGATGCCTCCGAGCATCTTGAGAGCTACTCCTACCAGGTTGGTCAATGGTGAGAGGTCAGACAAACTCAGTCTCCTGGTCCTCCAGGTTGGGGTTTGAAATGGGATGGCGTCCATTTCTGTAAAACTAAATCACTGCCACCCCGCTGCCTTGCGGGCAGGCTTTTGAGCCAAAGGCTTTGGATGAGGACCCTAATCGTTCTCCTGTCTAGGTCTGGGCGCCCTGGCAGTATCCCAGCCCACATACAACCATGACATTTTCTTCAAACATAAACTTCATCCTGCATCGGCCGTCGCGCAGATTATCAAGGGTCGCCTTATCTGCTGCATACAGCAGGGCGGATAAGCGAAAGCATGCTACTGCTGGCGCCTCCCTTCTTTCTTTTCCACCTTTTTCTCTTACTCCCATCCCGGCCCCCATTACTAACCTTCCTTCTATAATTCCCAGCTTAATTGACAGCAACCGAAGTGCTACTGGAGTAGAACCATCTGCAGCCACCATCCCACAGCACCTATCGGACGCCTATCGGCAAAAGTCCCTTATAAGACCACGCTGTCCCGTTTCCATGGCGACCTTCAACGTCCGCACTCTAAGACAAACAGGTCAGCAGGCTGCACTCGCACGCACCTTGGACACACTGGGTGTTGATGTGTGTTGTGTGTCCGAAACTAGGATAAATGACCCTAACGGGGTTATTGAATTGACTGCACCCGGCTTATCCTCTCGTTATTGGTTGCACACATCCGGAGACGCCGATGCGGCACTCACCGGTCAAGCTGGTGTAGGTATCATTCTCAGCTCCAAGGCTGAGTTATCGTTGGTTGATTGGATTCCGGTGAACAGTCGTTTATGTGCAGCCCGTTTGACGACATCAGCTAAGGTGAATTCGCGAAGTAAAACAAAACGCTGTTTGTTTGTGATTTCTGCTTATGCTTCCACGGACTGCAGTTCTAATGCAGTCAAGGACACTTTCTATCACGAACTGAACACGCTGCTACGCAGTGCTACTAGTTCAGATATTATAGTACTTGCAGGGGATATGAACGCACAAGTAGGGCGTCTGAGCTCTTCAGAAGCTCAGCTGGGTGGTAAGTATGGACTTAACTCCGAACGGACTGACAACGGCGAGCGTCTGCTGCAACTGTGTGCGGAGCACCAGTTGTTTCTTACTAGCACCGCTTTTAGACACAGTGGGCGTCGAAGTGCCACTTGGCGTCCACCTGTAGCTGGTCAGCGATGGACCCAAATTGACCACATAGCCATAAGTTACAGGTGGCGCGGTTCCATTCTGGATTGCCGCTCGTACTGGAGTACCTGTGTCGACTCTGACCATGCCTTGGTGCGCTGTCGTTTCTCCATGAACTTTACCGGAAGGCGCACACAGCGTCTCCCCCGATTGGCAACGGAGAAATTGTCCCAGCCCTCTGTCAGGCAAGCCTATCAAGAAGCACTGCATAGCGAACTCTCGCTGTCTTGTCCTAATGATACTGAACTTCAGTGGAATAAGATCTCGGCCACTATGCACGACGCAGGCGCATCTGCTTGTGGCACTATCAGTCGTCATCGCACCAGTCACTGGATATCCGAGAGGTCCGTGAACCTTTTGGAAGCTAGAAGGCACCTCCCGGCTGGTTCTGAACACAATGTGACCAGACGGGCTATTAGGCGTGAACTAAAGCGGAGCCTACGTGCTGACAAGGAAGCCTGGTGGACCAGTCGGGCTCAAGAAATGGAGGAGGCAGGAGCAGTAGGCAATTACCGGAAGCTCTTCCAGCTAATACGCACCACTGGTCCGAGAAAACCAGGTGTCAGTGAGACAATCAGGGACAGCGCGGGTGCGCTGATACACAATAAGCAGCGCCGTATGGCTCGTTGGGCTGAGCACTTTGAACATCAGTTCAGCTGGCCCCCTGCTCCCGGACCTCTTCCTACTCAGGTGATGCAGGACGAGCCATGGACGGTTAGTTTAGAGCCTCCGTCGGAGGCCGAAGTCCGAAACGCGATCACAGCCCTTAATCGTTTTCGTGTCGCTGGCCCGGATTCCCTACCACCTGCACTATTTAAGGATGGTGGTGAGGTCCTCTGCAAAGCACTGACCTCCCTATTCGAACGTATCTGGAACGAAGAGTGTGCCGGCTACTTGGAGCGAATCGATTATAGTGGCAATATACAAGAAGGGCAGTCGCACAGATTGTGCGAACCACAGGGGTATTAGCCTAACGCCAGTTGTGACAAAATTACTGGCCTCGATTATCGTTCGTCGCCTCACTGCAGAACGGGAATCTCGGATTAGAGAAGAGCAGGCCGGTTTTCGCCCAGGACGTGGCTGTATAGACCATATATTTACTTTGCGGCAGGTGCTAGAGCAGCGCCACGCATACCGCAGACCGACAATAGCTGTGTTCCTCGATTTCAAGAGTGCGTTCGATTCAGTCGATCGATCGATTCTGTTCGAAATACTTGCGCGGAAAGGTGTTCCCACGAAATATGTGAACATCCTTCGTGCTCTATACTCGAACACTAGAGGCCGCGTCAGGATCTATGGTGCCCTATCGGATAGCTTTTCGACTACAAGTGGCGTTCGACAGGGTTGCCCGATTTCCCCGTTTTTGTTCAATTTCGTCGTGGATTCTATCATAGAGTGTTCCCTTGCGGAATCTCACGATGTAGGCGTTGAAGTGCTGCCTGGTGAACGGTTAGTTGATCTAGATTATGCGGACGATATCGTCTTGCTTTTCGACAATGTCGAGGCGGCACAATCAACCCTGAATAGCCTATCCAGAGTGGTCCCATTATTTGGTATGCACTTCGCACCTTCAAAGTGCAAAGTGTTGCTGCAGGACCACCAGCCACTCGATGACCCCTTGACGCTTGCTAACGAGGAACTCGATGTGGTTGATCAATTCACTTATCTTGGCAGCTGCATCAGCAATGATGGGCGCATAGAAACTGACGTTAGCTCACGCATTGCAAAGGCCAGAGCTGCCTTCTTGAACCTGCGTCATCTTTGGCGACAGAAGGGAGTTTCCCTCCGTCTGAAAGGCCGTGTATACAAGGCCACAGTGAGGGCCGTTCTGCTCTATGGTAGTGAAACTTGGCCCCTTCGGTCTGAAGATCTGAGGCGCCTTCAAGTCTTTGATCATCGTTGTTTGCGAAGCATTGCTGGTGTCGGATGGCACCAGCGTGTCCGCAACGATGATGTGCGTAGGCGAGTACTAGGGGGTGATGATCATGCTAGCTCCCTAGAACAACAGATAGCACTGAATAAGTTACGTTGGCTCGGGCACGTGCTACGCATGCCTGGTCACCGCTTACCTAGGAGGGCCTTGTTCAGTCTACCAGGTGTCGGATGGCGCAAGGCTCGAGGTGGACAGAAGTTGACTTGGCAGCGGGAAATGAAGTCACTGACGACCAAACTGGGTGCCGTTGGTCCGTCTCGCCTTCCGGGTTGGAGTCCACGTGACTCACCTTGTGCTTGGCTCGAGACTTTACAGGACATGGCTCGCAACCGACACCAGTGGCGCGTCTGCTGCCGTCTCCTAATCGGATTGTCTGTTTAAAGTGTGTTTGGTGCTGAGTTATCTGCTGGGTAATGGCTGATTATGACGCGTGGCAGTGAAAGCCGCAAGGAAGCTGTCTCGCCGATGCCGCCTTATCTTTGCACGACAGCCAGCTGTTTGTGACGGTATGTTGTTAACACAAGGTGTAGGCGCCTTGACCCTGAATGTTTGCTTAGGGCATTAAGGTTTTCAGGTAAGTCCCCTTTCTCTCCCTCTTATTCTTTATTTCATAGGTCCTCATGGTTGTATGGCAGCGAAGCATCAGTTCAAATGGCTGATGTACTGCTGTTGATGATGATGAATGTTACAGCAGACTATATGCATCCATCTGTCGCACAGTGCGCATTGGACGGCCTTTGAACGTGAGGTGACACCCTTCCCACAGTCCACGCACATGGATGTCATATCTCCCAAAAGAAAAATTTGACTAAAGTCAAATTTCGTCAAAAGTGTCTATTCAAACACTTTTCTTCACGAGAATTTCACCTAAAAGGCTCGAAAGTATAGCACGTCAGAAAGAGAAGTTACCGCGTGGTACTCTTCGACAACATTCCTCGGCTTTGCATTCTGGTGACAACTGTAAGAATGCCGCTAGTAGGGGTTTCAGAATGTTG